TGTTCCTTCCTATTTTCTTCTTGATTTATAGGTTTTATTTTATTTTGTTCTAGTTGTTCTATATCATGTACTAATGTCTTATTATTACTACTCCACTTCTGTAGCGGATATTGGCCTTTCTCTAATAAACCACTTATCTGTTTGTAAAGTTCTAACCCTTCATGTAAAGAGTTACAACCAGTCATTAAATCGTCCATGTAAAAACTATTAACAATTATATCCGCGGCAAGAGGATATTGTTGTCCTTCATCTTGAGCAATTTGTTGTAACACTTTAACAGCAAGGTATGGAGCCGAAGACGTTCCAAATGTCACAGTTAGTAATTCATACTCTTTTATTTCTGTTTCAGGATTGTCTCGCCACAATATCCGCTGATATCTTGCATCTTCTTCAGCGATTTGAACTTGTCTGTACATTTTAATTATGTCTGCTACTAATGCTATTGTATGTACTCTCCATCTTAATATAGTATGCCGTAAGTCAGCCTGAAGAGTAGGACCTACCATAAGGGTGTCATTCAAAGACACACCCTTTCTATTCTTTTCAGATGCGTTGAACACGACTCGAACCTTTGTTGTAGTTCTATCATCTCTAACAACGGCGTGATGGGGTAAATATACCGCTTTATCTTTATTTTGATCGTTTACTAATCTCATATGTCCTAATTTTAGATATTCATTTATTACTTCTTTATACTTTTCTTTAAGATCTTGATCTTTCGAAAGTCTTTTTTCTAATGATTTAAATCTAATTTCAGCTATTTCTCGAGAGCCGTAGTTTTCGCACTGCGGATTTTCATCACGAAAAGGTAACTTAACTATATATCGACCATCATATGTTCGAGATGTAGTGTTCTCAAAAAACTTCTCACAAAGTTGTTCTTCTTCCGTATAGATTTTCTTTAACGATGGTATTTGTTCTTCAATTTCCCAGAACTTTCTTAGAAAATGATCTTCATTGATCTGAGTATGCATAGCAACTACTTTATTAGTTTTATGCAAACTTGACCTAACAACATCTGTTGCACCTGAAATAATCCACCCTAATGAGGTGTTCTGAGCAATCAATGACCCAGACGGACTTCGCTTCACTCCTTCTCTAAGGATATTACTATACACTTCGGCGCCTATTAAAATATCTATTTTATTGGACTTACTGAAGTTAGGATCAGCTAATTGTAAACAATTCAAATCTACCCAGTCAATTGTTTCAACATTTTTTTCAGGTAAATATGAAGTAATATTTTTCAACACATAGGCATCAACCGGTATTCTTATAGTCGAATCAATGCGTGATTGTATTATAAATTGAACTACAGCCTTTGAAACCACTGATTTGTTCTCACCTAATCCAGATATAATACCATGAATTGACCTTTTTCTTAATCTTAAAAGTTGAACTGTGGCTTCAGTGATAAAACAGGCTTGCGAGCCCTGATCTAGTAGCGCTCGCACTGGTTGAAATTCACCTATTTTAGATTCAGCCATAATTAAGGCAGTAGCTAGTAAAATCTGTTTTGGCCTTTCCACACTTCCTGTTGATAAACATGTAACAATTGAAGAATCATTTTTCGAAGTACTAGGTTTTTCAATGTCCTTTGTCTGATCTTTATTTTCATGATTATATTGTGGATGCAATAAAGAATGATGACGCTTGTTACAAAGTTTACAACTAGTAGATTTCTTGCAATCGTATATAATATGATTACCACCGAGACAGTTAAAACAAATCTTTTTCTTTATTACAAACTCGCGCCTTTGATCATATGATTGAGCTGCAAATTCTTTACAAAAGCAAAGTTTATGACCTTGGGAACAAAACTCACATTTCAACCTATCCGGCTGATTTATAGTTAGCAATGATTTTGTACTAACCTGTTGTGACAGTGGCTTCTTTGAGTCTAAACACTCTAATGCTCTAAACCTATTCTCTATAAAAACTGTGAACTGTTCGTAAGTTGGCAATTCACTCAATTCATTAAATGAAACACTTAACTCCCATTGCTTTTTCGTTTCTTGATCTAATTTAAAAGTTACAATGTGTATAATGATAATATCCCATGTACTTACATTAACATCTAAGTTTTTTAATGCATTCAGACAATCAGTAGTATTATCCAACAGTTCCTTTAAACCAGAAGCAGATTCAAAATTTAAACGTCTCTGGCTAAATAATCTTTTTAAAATGCAATTAGCTAGATAGCGTTTATTGTTATATCGCTTTACTAATTGATCCCAACACTGGATGTAGTTGGCTTCAGTTATTGGTGTATGCCTGATCAACTGCTCGGCTTCTCCAGTGAGGTGTCCTTTTAAATAATGTAACTTCTGTACACTATCCAAAGATTTATTTTTGTGAACTAATGAGACAAATAAGTCGCGAAATGTAGGCCATTCCGAATACCTACCAGAAAACATAGGTATAGATATCTTAGGTAACTTTACAAAGGAACTGGAGAATTCATCTTTATTTACACTATTTTGGACATTAGGAATCTTTTTTACTAACAGTTTATTGAGTTCAGCTTTCATAACAGATTTATACATAAAATAAGAATCCTCAGTTTTAGAATACATTTCATTTTTTACATACAAAGACAAATCTAACTCTTCTTTCTTATAAGTTTCAACTATTTTTTTATTATTATCTCTAAATGATTGCCAATCACTATCCAAATTTTCTAACCTTGTTTCTAAATATTCAATATTTATTCTCTCTTTTGGACTTTTCTTAAAGTTTATTAAGCCTCTGTCAATAGAAGTCTGTAAATCTTTTTGTAAATTGATAAGACTATCCATTTTTAAAATTAAAATTGCTTCAAACAAAAATATTCCGTTTCCGTTAAACAAACTAAAATTATATTTTGCAAATCAGTATTCTATTTAAAATTTGAAAAAAATTGCAAGTGTTTTTATTTAAAGAGGTTCGAACGGAAATCGGGCATAGAGTCCTCGTTCCCCCGTTTTTTTCTTAATTATTCTAAGTCCTAACTACTTATTAAGTTAAAATTTTCTAAGTCCTAGATAAATATTTACTAATTATTCTAAGTCCAGATGTCTTGAAATTTCTTCTAAGCTTCACACTTGAAGTAATTAAGGTTCAAATTCCTTAACACTGTAATCACCACTATATTTATTCTTCTAAGGTAATAAGGTTTATAATTGTACTCACAATTTGCACTGCACTTACACCTGTTTTGATCTGTGTTGACCTCCTTGTGAAGTCTCAATGACGTCACTTTCGATAGCTCTGCTCTGCTCTCTGGGTTATGTTCTGCCTCACACACACTTTTGTCGCTGCTGCTTGGTAGTGCTGAAAACACTGTTACATACTCTTTTTGCAGCGATCCACTGCGAGTATGCGTCTAATTCAAAAACATCCGGGTCGCTAAGGACCATGTATAATTTTGGCCTAGGTTGTACTGAAGCGGCTAGTGATTTTAAAAATAAAACACCAGCTGATCTAAAGAGTTCTGTATTAGCAACAACTTAACTTGACCTTATTTGATATATATGTATTTTATAAAAATCAAATGTCATCGTGATTCTAATTTTGCATAACGCCATCTATTACATTAAATTATTATTATTATGACCTATTGTTTATAAATTAAAATATTATTTGAACTAAGGAGCTTAAACAGTAAGCACATAAAAAATTGTATTTTTCCTTGTTTCATTAGCACTACAAGCATTTCAATTTGATTACTGTTAAAGAAAATTATGATTACAAGTACTTTTAAATGTTTAGAATTTATTTATATACATTTTAGTGTGCACAAGAAAAGCAGTGTTTTTTTTTTAAATTGTCTGTAGCTTTTAAGAATATAATGAATGTTCAGAACAGAACCCAGAAATTATTAAGGACTGTATTGAAAGACCATGTTACTAAATACACCAACATTGTTGTCCAATAGCCATTGACTTAGTAGTAAATTTCATTAAATGAACTATAATCTTTAGGATAAATCGTAGAAAATAATAGTAACAGCTTCCATACTGCCCACAATATTGTTTATGTGTTTTTCAATTAATAATCTGCATTTTATAAAACATATTTGTAGCACCTGGAAATTTGATAATAGTTCAGCTATATTTCATCAAAACCAATTCACTGCAGTATGACTAAGTAACAGACCCAACATATATGATATCACAATAAAATGATAGCTGTATGTTTACATATAACAGAAAAATCTCATATAACCACAGAAACCCTACACCTTCATCACATCCAACCAGATGCATGTTCGATCACATAACAAACACATTATTATCAATGTTTCAGTCAATGATTAATTAAAAAGTCCATTGTTTTTGCCATGAAAATATTTAGTACTTTTTTATGCGAATGTAGGTAATTAATTATACTGCTACTTAACTTTGCAACTTTAGAGTTACAACACAATTATTACACAATTTTTTATATAGAAGATTACAGAATATAGGGTAAATAATCATTGAATTATCAAAGGAGTTGTGTTGATTCCATGGCATGTATTTTAGTGTAAACCTGCCAATTTTATATCATCCATTTTAAACCTTAAATTTGTGTATGTTGGATTCAAAATTGATTGCTGAATTTGTTTTTTTTTTTTAAGCCTGAGGAGATGCTTGTATCTAATATCAGTTCTATTGTCTGGTTATTCTAATCACTAATAGTGTACTTAGTTACATAATTACCATACACTTTATGTTCTTATTTTTCTAACTTTTTAATGCTCATTACAATAAATATTTTTTTCTACCTTTCTTAGTGAGTAAGAATCTCATAACAATTTACAATTTGTAATAGTTTACAAAATCATTTAAAACAATTATTATTTCATTGCCTTTTGGACAGCTCATTATTTATATTACTTTATCTATGTTTATAACTCATGAAATTATCAAATCAAAATCTGTAAGTAAAATGTTCTTAGTTAAATAAAATAAATTAAATTCATGACATTGGGTAGATAGATATACATAGAACTAATTATTTGAAATGTTAAAGATTACCATAACTAGGTAGTTGCAGGAGAATTTACGGAGTCGGAAGGCAGCAAGCGGTCCGGGAGGTTTCGGTAGGGCTCCAAAGCGATTTAGGCGCGTCACATCACCTAACACCACTTAAATCACTCTACAATAAATTTAAATTACGAGACGTGTGGATTATCGCACTCACTGGCAACTACAAATAATGACTCGTTTCAATAGGACACTGACTGGTGTGGTTACTGTTCTTTAAATTTATCTATCGGAGAAGAGAGTTATCGCTACACACACACCCCCTGCCTGCCTCTTCATAACTGTCAACGTCAAATTGTCAAATACAAACTAAACTGGCAAGTTTACATAGTGATGTTCAAACTCAACTTACTAACTGAATTATTATTAACTCGAGTTGACTCGAGTCAGATTCAAACACATTCAATTCATTGAAACTCTGTGTTGTAACAGCATAGGGATGACGACTGGGTAAAAAATAGAAATTGTATTTAGTCCGTCAGTCAGGTAATAGAAAATATTAGACACGTATTCTTCTTACTTTAATGTAATAAGAAATAGCTTAGATAACAAGTATTAAAGTTGAGGAGTTGGGGCTCGCTACGTCACAGTTTTGTAGAAAATGTACAAGAGCGTACCATCATGTGATATTTTCACTCAATGTATCACCGTAATTTAATGATTATAACATAAAGTAAAAAATACATGTTTAATATTTTTCAACAATCGACCTAACGAACAAACAAACAAAAATTTGTGGTCATCCCTATCGTTTTCAAAATTGAGCTGGGTGAGAACGATTTTATCGTTGTATGGGTTTTTATATCACCATCACCATCACCATCAGCCCTTTTACGTCCCCACTGCAGGGGCTCAGGCCTTCCTTATGGATGGTTAAGGAGGATGGGCCATGACCCTCCACGCTGGCCCAATGCGGATTGGAGGGTATTAACGACTGCAAATGCAGCCGGGACCAACGGCTTAACGTGCCTTCCGAAGCACGGAGTAGCTCGAGATAATAATTTTTTTTTGGTCACCCATCCCGTGACCGACCCTTGTGAAAGTTGCTTTACGACTACGATCACGGGCCGCGGCGCTTATCCACTACGCCACCGAGCTACTCAGGTTTTTATATATATTATAGAGGTTTTTATATATAATATCGCTATCGTTTGTAGAGATGTGACTTATCTTAGATACAAGTATTTGAAATACAGATACAAGATACGTATTTTCATCTTGTATCTAAAATACTTTTTTTAGGAAGAATTTTGTATCTTGTATTTAAATACTTTTGTTTAGTATCTTATAAATACTTTTTCTGATAAAATACTTTTTAAAAAGTTTTTTTTCATACATTTCATAAATAACACCAAACAATGCCTAAAATATACAAATAAGCTAAACATACACATTTACAAGAAGAAAGTGTCCAATTGTCAACGCAATGAGTTATGCAAACGCAACTCGTTTAATATGTACAAAGTAATCTTTGAATAAATTTCTTTTTTAATTGTATATTGGATAATGGAAACTAACATAATGGAACTGAGCACAGAGGTTTTTTTTAAATTTATGGAAATCAATTAAATTAATGCTGAAATATAAATAAAAGTAGCATTTAGGTACGGTACATAATAATAATACCGCCAAATGGTTTTTATAAATAAAAAAATTTTGCCGTAATAGATCTAGGAATTTTTCTTGCTATTAGTTGTTTGTTAAACTTACAACAACAAAACCACATCAATAATATTTTTATATTATGTATGGTGAACGGATGTATAGGTTTTATTAACCAGCAACAAAAGTTATAAGAACGATAATTATAATAAAAAATCCGTTTATTATCTATATACTTACCCGATATGTATAAAAAATACTACGTATTCGTACAAAATAACATGACTTCTGGCTACGTTTGTGCAAAGTGTTTTTGATTCTTACAATAATATTGTTAATAATAGATTGACTTTCTACATAACCTACTCTAGAAATCAGTTTTATTGAAATATATTATTTACTAAGTACCATGAGTAGTCATGCTCTCTTAAAATCTCTGCAGTGGTGTCGTGTGCGTTAGGTCGTTACGCTCCCTCAAATATAGTATAAATGAGTTGTATAGTTGCAATTAAAAAAGAAGCCCTTGCTGAGTTTCTTGCCGATTCTTGTCAGTACGAGATCTCCCCGCCTTAGTTTTGCGAACTATTGGCAAAGTTTTCGACTTTCACAAGGAATATGTAACAGCCTAGACTGAATTGATTTTGATATTTATATTAATATCATTCGTTTTGTGCATAATAAAACTAGCTGAATTCTGTGCTCCGCTTTTTGTTCTTAATTCCAAATCTGAATTCGTATGAAAGTTACGAGCAACCAATAAGTTGGCCATCACTAATGTTGACATATAAACCAAATATCGTTCCTTTACACTTAACATAATAAACAACTTACGATTAAAATAAATTAAAATTAATTTGAAAGATATTATAAGAAACACAAAACGGAGTCATATTTATTAATTTTCGATACTCAATTTACTATTATTACGTCAGAAACAAAATTTGAATAAATATCATAATCAAAACCCAAACATCACATTGCGAAACAACAAAAAACGGGCGGAGTCCTGTCTAAATAATAGGCCCAAGGAATTTGCTATTCTGCCGTACCGACCATTTTAAATCATAATATTTGTTTTGGCTAATTTCAATTTTTAATTTATTTATTTAAAAAACATGGAATTATTTTATTAAAATCGTCATTTGCTTAATAGTTTTTGGTTCTTGTGGTCTTTAATAAACAAACTTAAATTGAAAAGTAGTTTTCTTAGAAAAGTATTTGTATTTAAAAAAGTATTTATAAGATACCTATTTTGTATCTAGTATTTCAAATACTTGTATCGAAAGTATTTTGTATCTGGTATTTGGTATACTTAATTTAAAAGTATTTTGTAATCCAGATACTTTGTACAGGGTATTTTGTACACCTCTGATCGTTTGTTACTGGACATCATAATTGGTTTGCATTACACTGTCAGTGCCACGCTTTTTTTGGTTTTGTACGTAAACATTTGCATAGTATTTGCATAGTATGCTATGTGTATGATATGTCATGACCGCACAAGTTCAGGTGAACTAGCACTTAAGCCGGAACTATACATTTTTATCGAATTATAAGAGGAGAAGGAGTCTGTATGGCTTCTAAACATGTATGCTACATTTTGCATTTGGCCACGTATTTATCATAAATTTGACATTCGGATTAAAATATTTATCCTTATAAATATTGAAGTTAGTTAAATAAAAACTTTTCACGTTCTTACAATGTCACGATAACAAGTCGTATGTGTTGGACTTCTTTAATTATAGATTGTTTAATAATGGTAAAAATGTGCACTGATGATGCTGATACCCCATAGAACATTAGTTAATTATTAGTGAAAAAGAAAAATCTCTGTTTACCGTTCATTTATTATTAATAAACGATGAAAGCGAAAGGTCTGATATCATATTTGTAGCATTGGATGATTCCAGATACTACGTAAAACTGGTTTTCCATTTTTTATTGATTTTTATTTGATAAAAGTCTAGGAATAGGTTGATTTAATGCTGAAATAAATATAAAGTGTTTATGTAAGTGTATATGTTTCCAATATTTTTTGACGAAGTCTAGTTTTACAAATTTCGTCATCTATCTTCCTTTTTCTGGGCATTTAAGGAACCTTAAAATAATATATGATAAAAACTATCTACGCAATTAACGTGTATCTCAAGTTCCCACGAAAACGATTATTTTAATTTTATTTATCTACGATTAAATATATGTATTGATTTTCTTTATTACTTAGGATAGTAATCAATCTACCGTATTTTATCAATTCACTTTAAAAAAAAATTACATGTACATCACTAGCTAATAAAAATCTATTTTATTATGAAAACGGTTGTCTCCAGTTTCTTATTATGTACTCGTACATGAATTAACATGATACGTGAGGGCTTATTATATTTATCAAAAACTTAATTTCGTCTATTTTCGAAAATTTAAGCAACTACAAAAAACGCTTTGTTCTTATGGTAACTGAACAAGTTAACCGTCGGATCCTACCATACAAATGATCTTATCAAAGAAAGGACTCGACACTAGAGATGGACGTTTAAACGAAAAGCACTTAATTAAGCAAGCTTTTCTAAATAAGTGCAAAAGCGCTTTTTCACTTAGAAGAAAAGTATGCTAATGCTTATTGTATGTCCCGCTATCTATCAAGATATAACTACTAGCTTCAATCAATTTTTCTGTTTCGGCATTTTCTATTAGAGGGCAGCTCTTTATATAAATACACTATATTATACTATTACGCGTGATATCCAACTAGACTATTTGCAACAACTTTTTTGGTTGGTTAATCCAAACGCTTTTTTAAACGGAACTTATACTTAAAAAAGCAGAACGATGTATTATCTATGGCAGAACGCTTTTCGTTGTTGAAGTAAGTGCACGTTGTGTTGAATGTTAATTAATTGCGTTAGTTGAACTGTATGCGTAAATAAATTGCTACTTAAGTAATGTCTTTTGTTTATTCCTAAATAAACAATGTAAATAAGTTTTGTTATGAGGTGATGGTGTGCATATAAAACATTCCAAATATTATCGAACTGCATTAGTTTTAAAATTGTGTAAATAATGTCGAGAAACGGTAATAGTATTGTGGTCTTGTAGTATACATAAAAACTTTCCTTTTGAATCACCCTATCTATGAAGAAAAACCCCATCAAAATCCGTTGCGTAGTTTTAAAGATTTAAGCATACATACGGATATAGGGACAAAGAAAGCGACTTTGTTTTATACTACATATAGCTTTTGCCCGCGACTTCATCCGCGTGATATAGTTACTTTGGGCATCATATTTTCCAAAAACGCTGTTGTTTTTTGAGCTGATGATGAAATTACCTTGATGTTTAAGTTCAATGCAATTTGAAATAAAGATGAAAAAAAAAACAGTTCTGAAGTTTACACAAAACTTAATCGAAAACGTAATCTACGCAAAATTCTTTGAAAGAAACGTTACCGCAGATTACTTTAGAATAAACGCCATCTAGAACACAGCGCCATCTATTGGGTGTTACCGCAGATTACTTTAGAATAAACGCCATCTAGAACACAGCTCCATCTATTGGGTGTATTTGCAACCTAGATGTTAAACGATATTGAAGAATTTTATCTATGAATCAATGTAAACCGCCATCTATGAGAACTTCATAAAACTAAACAGTAAATAAATATTTGCTTAAGAAACAATT